CGTGCGCGCGCTCCGACACCGCTCCTCCTTCTCTGCCTCGCCGCGCCCGGCGCCGCGGCGCAGCGGGAGAACCCGGCCAGGAGCACGGCCCGGTTACCAGCCCTGTCCGCAGTAGGTGGTCTGGCCTCCCCCAGGACGGGGGTAGGAACCTATGCAGTCCCATCCAGCCACAGTTGAATCCCATTGGTGCCTCTGCCTAGCTTGTTTCCTCATTTGTAAAATGTTAAAATGACCCTCCTAGTAGGTCCGCAGGGCGGCGCAGCGGGAGAACCCGGCCAGGAGCACGGCCCGGTTACCAGCCCTGTCCGCAGTAGGTGGTCTGGCCTCCCCCAGGCCGGGGGTAGGAACCTATGGAGTCCCATCCAGCCACAGTTGAATCCCATTGGTGCCTCTGCCTAGCTTGTTTCCTCATTTGTAAAATGTTAAAATGACCCTCCTAGTAGGTCCGCAGGAAGCTTGTGACGCTACTAGGAGAGGTGCTGGGTGGGGAGGAGGGGTGGAGGCGGGCAAATCCCAAGGGAAAGCAGAATCCGTAAGTCCAAGCATGGGCTGTCTCGTGGCGCTTCGTCCGCATTTCCCAAGACCTTCGGCAGTCTCTTGCTTGCCTTCATTTGGCCAGGAGAGAGCTTCCAATGAACACCGGTTACCCTTCAGAGTTTCCTCTTCCGCACTGGGGATTCGAAGGAGGAAGAGTGCACAAACATTTCAGTGACGCACTTTCCCTTTGGGTTTAGTGCCCAAACTCTTGGATTAAGTGTAGCCGTTTTCTAGGGCTCTGATCGCAAAGTTTGAGGTGAAAAACTCAAAATCCCAGGATCTTAGAGTCAAATTTAACTGATGCTTTTTCAGATTCCAATCCCAGCTCAGCCACTGCGGCTGCTTCAATTCACCAGGTTATTGAATGTCTTTCAGCCCGTTTTCTCAGCTGTCAAATGAGAACAACCACGCTTGATGGTGACAGGGTCAGATGCTAAGGATGAATAGCCAACCTTCACAGACTCTCATGAGTCCTTTAGGCTAAATTGTCATTTGTCAGGAAATTCTTCTAGATCCTTCCCTAGGCTCAAGACCATATTTCTGCTTCTCGATCTTGGGAGAGGACATCTGGTCACCCCCTTGTTAATCGATGTCATTCCCCTTGCAGCAGGGAGGCCACTGCCAAGTTCGTCAGTCTGACCTTCCTTATAGGTGGCTTCAGATAGGGCTTTAGGATCCTTCTCGAAGCCTGTAGATTGGACAAATGTTGTGAGGGCCAGACTTGGAGCTTTCCCCTCAATTCGTAAAAGGAGTTGCTAACAAAACAGGAGGAAGAGAATGCTCACTGAAAACTATCCCCGTGTTGATGTGATTTCTCTCAAGACACAAGAACCTTTGGGGCAGGACTCGTCACCTCCATTTTGCCAGTAAGAAAGCAGAGGACCTGTTGCCCAGGTCCCCAATCTGTCCTTAGCTGGGTCCTCCTCTCCTGAGGGCCAGTGCTACAGATGTCCCCACCTTCACCGAGGTCCCCTTCCAGGTGTGCAAAGTGGATGGGACATAGCTGCAGTTCCTAGTGATGCCTGGTTCCCCTGCAGCGAGGTTCGTGGTGGTTACCACTGGCTTGAAAAGCCAGATGGCTCTTGGGAAACAAACAAGCCTCACCCGCCCTTCCTGTTGGAAACTTTGGCCTCAGCTGCAGAGTGAATGCCTGGGAAACACATTTCAAGTCCAGCCTCAGGGAGGCCAACTGCTTCTGGACATTTGCCAAGGCCACTCTCAGGGAAGTCTGAAGGCCAGGAGGCCCTGCTCTGGGTGTGGGCCTGACCCGACACTCTCAATGGCAACTGTCTGCATCAGGGGTTCTCATCCCTGGGTGCCCATGAAGGAATGCTGACGCCTGGGCTCCACCTGAGGCCGAAGAAGTCAGTTTTCCAGGAGTGGGCCCATGCAGTGAAATTTTTGTTTTCTAAAGCACCTCCAGGTAATTCCAATGTGCCACAGGGTTGAGAAACATTGAGGGAGATCAATGCAGTGACCAAAGGACAGAATAGGAAAGTATTTGAAATCTGAACAAGAGGATTTGCATTAGACACCAACATAAGCCATGCAAGGCAGGGAGGCTCCCCCAGATGTGATGGAGCAGGGCTATGGAATTCTTGGAAGGACTCGTCTGGGAACTGGCATGGCCCGGTGCCTGGGGCACAGGGCGGAACCCCATGGCTCCAGGTCCCTCTGGGCCACTGTGCCTGCTTCTGAGATCCACATCCGCTCCTGGCCCAGGCTGCTGACACTCCTGTGAGCCTCAGTTCCAGTCCAGCTGGATTGTTTGCTATTCCCAGAACTCACCCTGTTCTTTCCTGCCTCTAGGTTTTGGTTACAGGCATTTGTTTCTGCCTAGGAAGTCCTTTTCCATCTGTTCAAATCTTTGGTCTTCAGAGTTCCTGCCCTAATGCCAAATCCACCAAGAAGCCTCTACCAGGGCTGTGTGCACCTGCACCCCCACCCCCCCATCCCCCATTTTATCACTGCCTAAGGTGTGCCCATGGGTTGTCTCCCTGGCCAGGCCACAGATGCACGGAGTGAGGACCCATCAAACACCTCTATGCCTCTTCCTCCCTGACCTGTCACTCGGGGTGGGGGGCACTTTGCAATGAGGAGCCTCACACATTTCTTGAATGCTGTAGAATTTGTCTCTGTCCCAGGACAGGGTGGACAGTCATACAGAGAAATCCTTTCTGCTCATGCGCAGTCCTGATAGTTCTCTGGCCCCTTTGCTCCCGTTTCCTCAGTGCCATGGGACCTTGTGGTTAGCCAGCAGTGACAGGAAAGAGCTGGGGCCTGGCCTTGACTCAGCACCTGGTGGCTATGCCACCAGTGCAGCTTCCTCTGGAGAGGGGCAGGGTAGAGTGAGGCCGGGAATTAAAGCTTTGAGGCCCTGCATGCTGGAGCAGCCTCTTCCCACAGGCAGACCCAACGTCTCAAAGGGAGGGGGAAAACCTCGGGCGCCACTAGGGCCAGTGCTGGTGCCTGGGCACAGCCTTCTCCCGAGAGCGGGGCGTGTGCGACGCCGGGAAGGGTAGCCGCCCACCTCCCTTACCGCCCGCTGGGGCCACGCGGCACTGCAAGATTGCGGAAGGGGAGTAAGGCCCCGGACGCGGCTCGCGGGTGACTTGTTCCCTCCTTTCGTCGCCCGCCCGCGCTGCAGGTGACCCCGGCAGCCGCCAGCCGTCC